AACACTATTATTATCTAATGGTTTTATGAACATTATTATTATCTAACAGTATTATGAACACTTATTATCTAACAGTATTATGAACACTATTATTATCTAACAGTTTTATAGAACATTATTATTATCTAACAGTATTATGAACACTTATTATCTAACGGTTTTATGAATATTATTATTATCTAGCAGTATTATGAACACTATAATTATTTAACAGTATCATGAAAACTATTATTATCTAACAGTATTATGAACACTATAATTATTTAACAGTATCATGAACACTATTATTATCTAACAGTATTATGAACACTATTATTATCTAACGGTATTATGAACACTTTTATTATCTAACAGTATTATGAACCTCTATTATTATCTAACAGTATTATGAACACTATTATTATCTAACAGTATTATGAACACTATTATTATCTAACAGTATTATAACTATTGGTATACCTTTATGCTCTACTGATGACGTTTCGGGTTTCCCTGTCGTTTCGTGTGGTGCTTCACTAGTCTGTTTCAAAGCTTGGGATGTGGACATTTGTATAACACCATTGACGTTTCTTTCCCTGTGAGTAAACATAGAAACAGGCGAAACAACGAACGGAGATATTGTAGTGTTAGTAATGTAAACACTACTTTTAAATGATGAGAAACGTCGCACCGGCAAATCGTTTACCTTCTCACATAAAACAGAAATCACTGTGTAACACAGTACACACGCTATAACACTCTGTAATAAAACGTTCTTATCCATTCTAGGCCTAATTTTAAATTCACACTTTTCTAAGTTCGTCTCGGTTCACCAAACGTTTATTCATCATATTAATCTTTTATTACGTTCAAATATATAACTACACATTAAATGTTTTCGAATTCTCGCTTGCTTATGTGCAAATCCAAGGAGGAACATTGGTATGCACGCTCGTGCTCAAAGACGTTGCTAGGAGACGGACCCTCAAACATTGAAGCTTTCACGGTGATTGAACTCTTCCGTAAATTACTTTACAGACGTTTGACCGGTTGAGTGGTTGATTGTTAGTTTAACCTAAATATCATAACCAACGCAAATCTGAAGGAAGAAAGTGGAAACTTAACAACAACATTTTTACCTGGACTTAACGTCTTCAAAGAAAGCACTCAGATGTGCCGTCCTACTTATCCTCTTACGTTATATCGACAAAGCTACCGAGTTCATTAGATCTATCCTCGTTAACTACCAACTGACGAACTGCCTGGGCTTTACAATACCTACTAAGTCAGATTCACGCCTTTCCGTTACGTCATCACAGACACGCCCCTCCTCCTACTCTATTTCAGGAAGTAGCAACATCGATCTAACTCACCTCAGTGTCGAAACTGCAAAGATCATGTGACTTGTGGGTATTAAAAATATTAATAATATTTACTCCCAACATGTTAAACGAAAAAATAGGCAACCTTATTCACCACAACAATACCTTATTTAATACAACAATTACCAAAAATATATTTTTGTACACAACAATTATCAACAATGCCTTATTTTACACAACAATTATCAACAATACCTTATTTTATACAACAATTATCAACAATACCTTATTTTACCCAACAGTTATCAACAATAACTTATTTTATACACAATTATCAACAATACCTTATTTTATACAACAATAATACCTTATTTTAAACAACAATTATCAACAATACCTTTTTCTATACGGTAAAGTGATATAAATATCATGATCGATAAAAAGAAGCTTCATAAAAGAAAAAATGAACAAGATATTTCATATAATTTTGCATAATGATACTAGAGACAATAATTTTCAACATCACTGTCAACATTTGTTTTTAGGGTTATTGGTCCCTAATTTTCAACTTATAAACTAGAAAAAGACAGCAAAATAAGAAGGTTTGTGTTTTTTTTCTCTGTTGGGTCTTTGAGAAAGTATAATTTTGTTTTATTTCACTTTACCTATACGCACAACTGAGTAGCTACAACTGTACAGAGGTAGTGTTTTCCTTACCCAGGTGTTACAGGTGGTGCAGTTGTTATAGATTAATGAAAACAGGTCTTCAGCACGAGATATTTCACGGTATATGTCATAAACATTTCTGGTGCTTGGTTCCAGCATGCTCTCTTTCTTCTGGCAAAACGAATTAACAAATAATAAAAACTAGTGTGCTGACTGTCTCTAGTAAAAACATATTTGATGCGCTAAAGAGTTGATCTACAAACGAATACAAGTTATATAAATATGGTTCATAGTTATCAGCTTAATTGTTAATGTAGTTGTTGTAAAACGTTAAACACAAGTCTTTTATTTAGGATAGAAAAATTATCTAATTTATGGTAGTGAAAACTATATCATTCGTTATGAATGTCAACAAATAGTATATTTAGAAATCGTATTTAGAGGATGCTGTAAAAATATAATCCATTTTGTATATCTATACTTTGAAAGATATCTTCTTCACCAAAATTCCGGAATAAGTTAATTGGAAACAAAACTTCAAATTTAGAAAAGGAGGATGATTCGTTCTCACTCGTAAAACGTTTCAAATATTATGATGAAGTGCAGCATTCTAGAACACTATAGCACTTTCTCTGTAACACTTCTTCACCTGTAGAACACCAACTTCTCTGTAACACTTCTTCACCTGTACAACATCAATTTCTCTATAGCACTTCTTCACTTGTAGAACATCAACTCTCTGTAACACTTCTTCACCTGTAGAACACCAACTTCTCTATAACACTTCTTCACCTGTAGAACACCAACTTCTCTATAACACTTCTTGACCTCTAGAATATCAACTTCTCTATGGCACTTCTTCACCTGTAGAACACCAACTTCTCTATAACACTTCTTCACCTGAAGAACACCAACTCTCTATAACACTTCCTCATCTCTAGAATATCAACTTCTCTATGGCACTTCTTCACCTCTAGAACACCAACTTCTCTATAACACTTCTTCACCAGTAGAACATCAACTCTCTATAACACTTCTTCACCTGTAGAACACCAACTTCTCTATAACACTTCTTCACCTGTAGAACACCAACTTCTCTATGGCACTTCTTCACCAGTAGAACACCAACTTCTCTATAACACTTCTTCACCAGTAGAACACCAACTTCTCTATGGCACTTCTTCACCTGTAGAACATCAACTTCTCTATAACACTTCTTCACCTCTAGAATATCAACTTCTCTATAACACTTCTTCACCAGTAGAACACCAACTTCTCTGTAACACTTCTTCACCTGTAGAACACCAACTTGTCTATAACACTTCTCCCGTAGAACACCAATCTCTCTATAACACTTCTTCACCTGAAGAACACCAATACAACACCAACTTCTCTATGACAGTTTTTCATCTGTAGAACTGGTTTCACGGTGTACGATATGAATAGATCCTGTTAGTGAATACCCAGATTCTAAGCTGGTTTCATGGTTTACGATAGTAATAGATCCTGCTAGGATTTAAACATTGAACAGCAAGTACTTTTTGAATGCCTGAACAAGTTCACAAAGATGAATAAAATTGTGTGCTGCAAGTGTGAACATTAGCAGATATTACGATTGGTTACTTTACGTATCTTACATGTTATTCACAACTTTTGTGGTTTCCGCACTTTGTGCTTTGATAATGTACACAGCTTTTCTGATTCCCATTGTTTCTGATCTATTTAATGTCTTTCTGAGAAGGGAAGGGAGAGGGGGGGGGGCTAAGGTTTTTCTTATTTTGGGTCATGATGGTTGGAAACTATGTCAGTTCATTTTAAGCTTGTTTTTTTGTGTGTGTGTGTGAAAGATAAGAAATGACTAATTGTGAAATAACAGGAAATAGAGTTTTAAGAAATGACAGTAAAAACAGTTTCACGCGTATGGTTTTATTTTCTCACGTTTTGGTTGTTTCTAATGCTTTCAACTGCAACTTGTCACACACTGGATGAAACTAGTTCGTGTTTCCAGTAAGAACCAGAAGCTTCCTGAAAAATTTCTTGAATCTAGGCCAGCTTTCAAAATCTCCTTAAACCTGTCCAGATTTCAAACTCTACCGAAACCAGACAAATACATAATTTCATGAAATGTTTTTGCTATCTGTAACGTAGTTCCTCTGCAGTTCATCGGTAAATTTTTGGACTCACAATGCAAAAAATTCAGGGCTCGAGCTCCCGCGGTGGAAAAAGCAAAGATAGTCCAATGTGTAGTTTTGTGCTAAAAAAAAGTGATATTTTATTACGTTATTCAGATTTAACGTTTTTAGTAATCTTGTTACCCATTGTAAAGCATGGGTTTTAATGTATATATATTTAACTAGACCCTCTTCTTACTGGGGTCAACATTTACAACCCAGATGAATCGTAATTCCTATTATGTACATATGACGTGATAACCACTGCTGTATATAAGTTACGTGATAACCACTACCGTGTATTAGTTAGATGGTACCTATTACCGTGTATAAGTTACATGATAACCACTACCGTATGTAAGATACATGGTCACTACTACCGTGTTTAACTTACGTGATAACCACTACTGTGTATAATTTACGTGGTACCTACTACTTTATCTAAGTTACGTGGTAACTACTACCGTGTATAAGTTACATTGTAGCTATTACTGTGTATATTTTACGTGATAACCCCTACTGTATATAAGTTACATGATAACCACTACTGAGTATAAATTACGCGATAATCACTACCGTGTATAAGATACGTGATAACCACTACCGGTATGTATGTGTTACGTATCTGTTACGGTGCTATATAACATATATATCGTCCCTATATATAATGATGTTATATTCTGATCAAGAAGTTAGCACACAGGATCACATACAAAAGTTATAATGGTTTTTAACGGAGACCCAAAACTCGAGCGCTATTCTTCAGGAGAATAAAGGGTTATGTTTAATGACTGTAATGAAATATATAGGTGCGGATATTCACGTAACATAAACTGGATGTTCACTATGAGTTAGGCTTAAGAACTAGTCAATCATTTTTTGCTTTATTCAAAATTAGGTTTATATGTCGATACAAGATTTGTAGAAAAAAATAATGCATTCAAATAGAAGACAACACTAACTTCACATAATATATATATACAAGTAAAATTAGCAAACTATTTATTCGCTTCTAATTCTCTACGCCAAATTATCTTTTTAGTTTATTGTGTTAAAAATGTTCTCGGGGTATAATGTTTTAATGGAGGAAGGGAATGTATCAAAGTACAGTGTTTATAAGCAGGAGAGGAATGTACTCGGTGTATAACATTCTAATGGAGGAAGGGAATGTGTCGAAGTATAATGTTTATAAGCAGGAAAGGAATGTACTCGGAGTATAACATTCTAATGGAGGAAGAGAATGTGTCGAAGTATAATGTTTATAAGCAGGAGAGGAATGTATTCGGAGTATAACATTCTAATGGAGGAAGAGAATGTGTCGAAGTATAATGTTTATAAACAGGAGAGGAATGCACTCGGAGTATAACATTCTAATGGAGGAAGAGAATGTGTCGAAGTATAATGTTTATAAACAGGAGAGGAATGCACTCGGAGTATAACATTCTAATGGAGGAAGAGAATGTGTAGAAGTATAATGTTTATAAAAAGAAGAGGAATGTACTCGGAGTATAACATTCTAATGGAGGAAGAGAATGTGTCGAAGTATAATGTTTATAAACAGGAGAGGAATGCACTCGGAGTATAAGATTTTAACGGAGGAAGGGAATGCGTCGAAGTGTAATGTTTATAAACAGAAGAGGAATGTACTCGGAGTATAAGATTTTAACGGAGGAAGGGAATGCGTCGAAGTATAATGTTTATAAACAGGAAAGGAATGCACTCGGAGTATAAGATTTTAACGGAGGAAGGGAATGCGTCGAAGTGTAATGTTTATAAACAGGAGAGGAATGTACTCGGTGTATAACATTTTTAGGCAGGGTGGAATATGCTCCAGGCATAACGTTTTAAGTCAGGAAAGGAATATACTCTGGTTGGGAAAAGGTTATACTCCGAGATTATTATGTAGCCGAAAGGATTTGTATTAAATGTTTAGAAGACGAAATATACTAAGGGTTTAGTTTAGCATTTTTAAATGAAGAGGCTTTGTTGAGCTCGAGGTTCAGCGCTTTTACACGTGAGGGGATTGTACTTAGGGTTCAATATTTTTATTCGAGAGGGTTGTAATTAGTAGTGTAAAATCTAGCGAATAGAGAGTGAGAATCGCTATAAGTAAAAAATAATAATAAAAGATATTTAAACTAGACAGATGTTGTATAGTTTATTCGCCCTATTGAATTATTGACAAATGACTAAAAAGACTGGTACAGAGTTCTTTCTCTACGAACACCACATTCCTAAAATGATGAATCCTAACTTATGCTCTGCATCTAATTGTTATTGATATTCTGAAATTTCAACATAGTCTAAACAACACAATATTTCATTTGTTACTGTAGGGTAGCTACGGTTTATTCTTTAAAGAAAACAAACTTGCCTTTATTTTTTACACAAAAAAGCCGACAACAAGACAAAGTTCTAACAAATACGTGTTCACTATACTTATATATATATATGCCTTGTAACTCTAAATATGAGCTTTAACAAAAAAATTATTCGTAGTAATAATGTAACATTTCGTCAAGTTAGGCCTCGTCCGTTACATCTGTTAAAACGAATCAGTTTTACTTCTACATTCGATCTCTGTAGCAAAAGTATATACAGAGTAAGATTCAAAAATTGATTACTTGAATTTCAAAATAGGAAAATTGACCTCAAACAAGACATACTTATATATAGAAATTATGCAAGAAACAAATATATAAAATGTAAAACTAAGATCATCAAACTATATTTTTACAGTCAGGCCTACTTTCCAATATTATCCACTACAGTATTATTTAATGACAGACCTATTTTCCAACATCATCTACTACAGTATTCTTTAAGGACGGTCTGTCCAAACTTTCCAAACATTATCTACTGTAGTAGTATTTAAAGTCAGGGCTACTTTCTAACATTATCTACTATAGTGTTATTTAAAGTCAGGCCTAATTTCCAACACTTTCTACTACAGTGTTATTTAAAGTCAGGCCTAATTTCCAACACTTTCTACTACAGTGTTATTTAAAGTCAGGCCTACTTTGCAACATTATCTAATGTAGTGGTTTTTACAGTCAGACATAAAAGAGCTAAAAAATGTTTGTTATTATTTTCAAAAACCTTTCTTGTATATAAGATAACTAGGTTGATACACTAAAAATACCATTTTCCTAGCCTCGGGCAAGTGTTCTATTTCAAGCACTTTAACCACTTCTGTAGAATTTATATTGTTAGTATAGGTTTACACACCCCTTGCTGCAGAGTTCATCTTGGAAATATAGATTTATATACCCACTGCTACAAAGTTTATTTTGGCAGTGTAGGTTCACACACCCGCTGATACAAAGATAATTTTATTTAATAAGGTTCACACATCCGCTACTAAATAATTTACTTTGGAAATGTAGGTTTACACAACCATTGATACAAAGTATATTTTGGGAATGTAGGTTCACTAATCGCTGATACAAAGTTTGTATTGGATATTTAGGTTCACACGCTCTCTGATACAAAATTTATTTTGGTAACATAAGTTCATTAATCGCTGATACAAAATTTATTTTAATAACGTAGGTTCACTATCCACTGCTATAGAACTGTAAGGTGGTGGATCTGAGAGGTCGGTTGGATTTTGTGAAACGCTTTCGACAGGTTTTAAAGCAACTTCTAATCTATCTTCAGGTTTATTAGGTTTCAATGTTGAAGTTGTAAGGAAAAACCATCGCTACATAAAAAAAGGTAAAACATTCTATCAATGTATTGTTCAGTTATTTTTACTGGTTTCGTTACAAATAAAATAAAATCCTTATTAAATATTATTTCACTTCTTGTTTTATAGCATAGCCATGTTGACAGTTCGTAGCAATTACTTATATAAAAAAAGTACAAACTGATCTGAACATCATTAATAAAGAAACAAAATTACTGACGTATTTCAAACTAGAGATTAATATTTTATACAACTACGAAACTATTTTTAACAAAATATTTCAACATCAAGTTAGGTATCATGTATTGTACTTGTTTATGTTTCTTAATAATGTATTAGATATAATGTATCGTACTTGTTTCTATAATTTAATAATGTATTAGATATCATGTATTGTACTTGTTTATATTTTTTTTAATAATGTATTTGGTATAATGTATCGTAATTGTTTATATTTCTTAATAATGTGTTAGGTATCATGTATTGTACTTGTTTATATTTTTGACTATTATATTAGATATCATATATTGTACTTGTTTTTATTTCTTAAAAATGCATTAGGTATCTTGTATTGTTGTTGTTTATATTTCTTAATAATGTATTAAGTATCATGTATTGTACTTGTTTATATTTTTCAATATTTTATTAGATATCATATATTGTATTTGCTTATATTTTCAATATTTTATTAGATATCATGTATTGTATTTGTTTATATTTTTGACTATTATATTAGATATCATATATTGTACTTGCTTATATTTCTTAATAATGTATTAGATATCATGTATTGTACTTGTTTATATTTTTCAATATTTTATTAGATATCATATATTGTATTTGCTTATATTTTCAATATTGTATTAGATATCATGTATTGTACTTGTTTATATTTCTTAATAATGTATTAGATATCATGTATTGTATTTGTTTATATTTTTGACTATTATATTAGATATCATATATTGTACTTGCTTATATTTCTTAATAATGTATTAGATATCATGTATTGTGCTTGTTTATATTTTTCAATATTTTATTAGATATCATCTATTGTAGATTTTTATGAAAAATGATGTACAAAAAAGTTAAGTTTTATCTGAACAGACAATTAAAACAAAGACAGTCTGATTTCTGCTATCTGGTAGTTAATGTTAAGTATACTTTCTAAAACAAGATGTTTTTTGTAAGGTAAACACAGTATCTGACTCAAGTGTACATAGATATCATAATTTCATGTTTCTTGCTGGATTTAAACGCAGTTTTCTCAGCCATGAAATTTCTTAATTAATAACTAAAGTTATATTTTAAGTTTTAATATGGCGTGTTGTATAGCATACTGTGTTTAATTATCCAGTACAAGATTAAGATTGAAGATATCTGATCAGTCCTCACCTGTTTAAATGTTCCCGGAGTAGAGAAGAGCTTGTAGATGGCGAAAAACGGAATGGACACCATAGATGCAAGAGCCATAAGCCATCCAACAGCAATAGCCCAGTCTGGATACTGGTAGAAGACGTTGTAAGTCAACGGTTTGTATGTGATGATGCTGAACAGGAATATACCCTAGAAAGATCGTTCGGTTTAGATTTCTTTGTTTTAAAGGTTTCATTTCGGTAACTCAGGTATTTTCATGGTTTCATTTCGGTAACTCAGGTATTTTAATGGTTTCATTTCGGATTAGAATACCTGGGTTAGGTTTCATTTCGGTAACCCAGGTATTCTAATGGTTTCATTTCGGTAACCCAGGTATTCTAATGGTTTCATTAGACCGTAAAAGTCTAGCACTGTTAAGGAAATTAAAATTATCTTCTAAGCTACGTACGTAAAACGAAACTAAAAATTGGTCTGTTAATAAACTGAGCTAATGAAATACACTTTTCTTACGTTCTTACTATAGCTGTTGACTTTATGTGCTATCAACAACTTAATGTTTGTTAAACAACATAGCATCAATATAATCGTGTATAAACAACATTTATACAATTCATCACAAAAACGTTTTGTGACCAATAAAAATCCATTAAACAGTTCTGACAGTCTAGCTTTAGAGGAGCCTGACATCTGAAATAAATTGCTACGACCAGTAGCAGGACAATACAAAGAGTAAAGATAAAAATTGGTGTTTATGAATATACAAAATAACAAATGATAAATTAAATGAATGTCATAATCGTACATTAAATAGATATAACATTATTATTCTAATTAAAGGATAACAATGCTAAATGTAATACAAATAAAACAATATGTTAAACAAGCTACGAGGTGTGTCTAACACTAGTACAAACATGTCATTTAACACAACACAGGTAACAGGAAAAATTATATATTCTATAACAGCTGAAATAATAAGACTTAGAGAAAAAGTTACAACAATTGTAAATATGGTAAAAAAAGACTTAACTACTTACGTGATGTCGTATTATATACGGAACTGTTATATATGTAGTATTAACTATACATGATAATTTAACGGAATTAACCAATAGTGATCGATACACTAAAGCGGAGCATATTACCAATTTCAAAAAGAAATAGTGTAGATTTGAGTTTGTAAAATGTCATGACAGTCTGTAAAACTTGTAGCTCTGTAAGCAGTTCAAGAATACTGTCGAATTTCCCACAGACTTTAATAAATTTAGTTTTAAAATGTGATAGGAAAAACGTCGTTTGTCAAAGAAGTATTACAATAATCTAGACACTTCAAATATTCAGGACCCCGTGACGAATAAATTAGTAGAAACGAACATCAAGAAGAACTTCAAAAAACCCAGAAGCTCGAGCACTTTTCACTAATTAACTCTTTTTTCTTCAGGAACAAAATAAATAAATGTGTTCTCGTCATGTGAGCAGGAAGTAATTATCCAGGTGGCCGTGAAAGCCCACCAATAAAAAATTGTGGCATTAGGTAATAGTATTGTTTAGCTCAAGATAACAAACTATTGAATTACGTGATGAAGATGAAAAATGCATAAATCTTATATATGTATATATATAAAATGATATTAGAAATATTAGTAACTTTAATATATATAAAGACAGAAAATAGCTTTTTTAAAAGAACAAAAGCACTTGGTACTAGAGACCAAACTGTAAAGAAATATAATTAAAGGATAAAAATTCAAACTAAAAATGTTGTTTTAAAACTTTTACATTCTACTTATCAATTTGTTCTTTAAGATGGAAAAATAAAGCAATAAAATAGAACAAAAAACATGAAAAACTCCTGAAAGGTTTTAAAGATAATTAAGAAAAGAATAGAAGATGGAGAAATAAAGGTTAAATAGGGAATGAAACCAGTTACTTTTGGAGAATTTTTATAAATGTAATAAGGTTACCGATCCCAAGATGAAAACCGATTCATAAACCAGATATTATAATGGTTTCATTAGGATGTAACCCAAATATAACAATGGTTTCATTAAGCTGTAACCTAGATATTATAATGGTTTCATTAGGATGTAACTATGATATTACAATGGTTTCATTAAGATGTAAACTAGATATTACAATGGTTTGATTAGGCCTTAGCCCAGATGTTCTAACGGTTTCATGAAGATGTAACCCAGATATTATAATGGTTTCATTAGGATGTAACCCATTTATTATAGTGGTTTCATTAGGATGTAACCCAGATATTATAATGGTTTCATTAGGCCGTAAACTAGATATTATAATGGTTTCATTAGGATGTAACCCAGATATTATAATGGTTTCATTAAGATGTAAACTAGATATTACAATGGTTTGATTAGGCCTTAGCCCAGATGTTCTAACGGTTTCATGAAGATGTAACCCAGATATTATAATGGTTTCATTAGGATGTAACCCAGATATTATAATGGTTTCATTAGGATGTAACCCATTTATTACAGTGGTTTCATTAGGACGTAACCCAGATATTATAATGGTTTCATTAGGCCATAAACTATATATTATAATGGTTTCATTAGTATGTAACCCAGATATTATAATGTTTCATTAGGCCGTAAACTAGATATTATAATGAATTCATTAGGCTGTAACCCAGATATTCTAATAGTTTTATTAGGCTTAAAACCAGATATTATCATGATTTCATTAAGCTGTAACTTAACGGAGATTCTAACTTATATTTTAGTAAAACAGTATCTTATAATAGGTGCATATAAATATTTTTGACTGGTTGGACGTTGTATTACTAAGATTAAGAAATACCGGCTTACAGCTGTAATTAGGGGAGTAAAGTACAGCCAACACCAGCGTAACCATGGATTGATACGGTAACCAAGCATCTCTTCTATGTTGTCATAGAAACGATCGACCCCTAGGTGGAAAAATAAATTTAGTGTAAAAATACAATGCTTTCAAATGTTAAAAAGATAATAAATAAAACCTGTAAAGACATTTAGTTTTTTAATATCTTCCTACAAACAGAATCAAGATTTAAACAATTAAAACGAAAAAATATTTAAAAGTGTAATTCTGGTTTCTGGTTACTGCATTGGGGAAAAACATATAATTTTATTGCTTTGCAACCAAGCAACTGTTGAAAGCTAGAAAATATAACAGAAAGAAACCTTACTACTCCAGAATATACGTATTGAAACTTAACACCCTACTTTAGTCAAGATTTACGAGGCAAATGTTATTTTTTCAGTAAATTCTGTAAAAGACAAATACCATAAAGCCTCCCCAGTGGAACAACGGTATGTCTGCGCTAGAAACCGGGTTATGAAACCCTTGTTGGGCAGAGCCCATTGTGTAGCTTTGAGCTTAACTTAACAAAAAGGAAAAAACTGAAAACTTAAAATAATAATTTCGAAGATCTAGACATTTCTATACGGTTTTACATAATTTGTATCATAATAATTTTTTTTCGATATAGTAATAATCAAACATTTCAAAACTAATATTTGACTTCAGTCATAGACGTCTATTTGGTAAATATTTGGTCTTGATAATTAGCAGAGGTAACAGTCATTTGATTAGAAACACGCGTCTGAATGGGTTGCTAAGGTTACGAAACGAGACGTAGTTGGTAAAATGAAGACAATGTTTAAAGGTTATAATTTGTACCAATATTTAAAGGTATAACTGATATCAGTGTTTAAAGGTTATAATTTATATCAATATTTAAAGGTATAACTGATATCAGTGTTTAAAGGTTATAATTTATACCAATATTTAAAGGTATAACTGATATCAGTGTTTAAAGGTTATAATTTGTACCAATATTTAAAGGTATAACTGATATCAGTGTTTAAAGGTTATAATTTATATCAATATTTAAAGGTATAAGTGATATCAGTGTTTAAAGGTTATAATTGATATCATTTTTGAAAGGTTAAAATCGATACGATTAATTTTTCTCAAGACAAAAGTATCGCGTGTTCTAAGAAATAGCTTCAACAATAAATATTGCAGTCATTAAAGATATTCATGTTTTATAAGGAAGTATCTCTCACAGATTTAAATAAAACGTTTTGTATTCCTTGAAGTAAATAGGAAAAGGCAGGCTGCAATCAAGGACGTCAACATTACAGAAAGCCAAGGTCATCGTTAACACAATAGACACGAGAATGTTATATAGAAGAATCTCTACATTACATGTATTTAGTAAACAAGACATTATATTACACACATATATAGTAAACCAGATAATATTATACCCGTAAATAGCATACCGTACACATTTTGCAACCTGACTTTAAATGAAATATTAAATCACCGTACACATTTTACAACCTGACTTTAAATGATATATTAAATCACCGTACACATTTTACAACCTGACTTTAAATGAAATATTAAATCACCGTACACATTTTACAACCTGACTTTAAATGAAATATTATTTCATTTAGAATAGCGTAACAAGCCTCGCTTACTTATGGTGTATAGACTATGTTTTAGATGTCATCTATTCTGAATAGTGTGACGAGCTTCGTCTACTTGTGATTTAAATACTATGTTTTAGATGTCTTCTATTCTGAGTAGTGTGACGAGCTTCGTCTACCTGTGATTTAAATACTATGTTTTGGATGTCATCTATTCTGAATAGTGTGACGAGCTTAGTCTACCTGTGATTTAAAGGCTATGTTTTGGATGTCATCTATTCTGAATAGTGTGACGAGCTTCGTCTACTTGTGATTTAAAGACTATGTTTTGGATGTCATCTATTCTGAGAAACCTTCAAATGACCTCTGAGCCCATTTTCTTCAAAACCGAATTATATGTTAGAATGCAAAATGATCAACAGAGAAAATATCAAATTTGCTTTTAGCCGTGTTAAGCCCGCCATCTTTTGGCAGTTATAGATAACAGAAATAATTATCTATTCTTCAAATTCAATAAATACACCTAAGGATAGCCCCATTCCTTGTATGAAACACGGTAAAGCTGATTTCTCTCCCTGTAGCTGTGGTTACACGACCTGCTCTGAAACAAGAAGTATGAGTAAAGCAGATCCTGTGAAAAATAACAAAATTAATGCCAATAAAACGATAATAAAAATAATCAATAAATAGTATTGCCCCCCCCCAGTGGCACAGCGGTATGTCTGCGGACTTACAACGCTAGAAACCGGGTTTCGATACCCGTGGTGGGCAGAGCACAGATAGCCCTTGTGTAGCTTTGTGCATAATTAAAAAACAAACAAACAATAAACAGTGTCACAATGAAATACACCATGTCGTATTATCTAGTTTTATATATATGTAGGTAGTGCCCAGACCACTATTATATATATATATATATATATGTAGTTAGTGCCCAGACCACTATTATATATATATATATAT